AGCCTCCACTCTCAGACCCGTAGCCTCCTCCTCCTCCAAAGCCAGAACCACCACCACTTGAGCTTCCTCCTCCACCTCCAGAGGATGACCCCCTCCTTCCAGAGCTGCTGCTACCGCTGGAGCTCAGACCCCCACTGTGAGGACTGCACCTGCCACTTCCAGACCCATATCCCCCTCCTCCTCCTCCAGAGCTTCCTCCTCCAACAGACCCATAGCCTCCCCCTCCAGAGGTGGATCCTCCACTGCCAGAGCTGGAGCCCCCACCACCAGAGCTTCCTCCTCCAACAGACCCATAGCCTCCACTCTCAGACCCGTAGCCTCCTCCTCCTCCAAAGCCAGAACCACCACCACTTGAGCTTCCTCCTCCACCTCCAGAGGATGACCCCCTCCTTCCAGAGCTGCTGCTACCGCTGGAGCTCAGACCCCCACTGTGAGGACTGCGCCTGCTACTTTCAGCGCCTTGAATTCCTCCTCCATAGCTACATCCACTTCTAGAGCCATATGTACCCCTTACAGAGGCACCTCTGCTGTAAGTCCTTCTAGAGCTGTTTATCCCTTCAGAGCTATATCCTCTTGGAGCATATCCAGTATCTTCAGAATAGTATCCTTGTCTAGATCTTCCTTCTAGGTCACCAGTGGCACTCATAGTGTAGTCAATGGCACCTGCAATGAAAAAGTCACATCTACCTTATTCCTGTGCTGGAAATGATTATAAAAGCAGTTGATATGTATACTTATGTATGGCCATGCTTGTACGTACTCTAGGCGTCACACTGATATCTTTGTAAAGGGTAAGCAAGGAGCTTTGTAAGCATACATACTTAGGAAATGTGTCCTCCTATGTTTGTGTCTTATGGTTTATTAACATATGCTTAACATGATTTACATTTTACACTGTACATGAACACACAGTGCAACCTTTCTTGCCAGGAAGTCACAAGTACTAGTCTATCTCTCTTTTTCCTTGCTTTTCGCTTCCCTGAGTTTCAGGACAAAATTATTTTTGCTTCAGTTGAGACAGGTATAATGTAGAAATATAGAATAAGAGACATGTCTCCCACTCCTACTAAATTTTGAGCTTATTGGCATATTTCAGCCAAATTTGTAAGATCGAGACAAACATATAAATGCATATACACATGTATCTTCACACACATACTCACAGGACAACAACATAGTTTCCTAGGGAAATGAGGCGTAAGTTAAAAACTCACGTGGTGTTATGCACCACAGACAACAAAATGATAGTAGTGCTCTTAAAGCAAACCGTAATCTTGAGATACTTACAGATTCTTGTTGGTGAGCCTTGCTGTATCCTGTAGAGGAAAGGTGGAATTGAGATAGTGCACCCAGTAAACCTAAAAGTCAGTTTAGGCTCTGTCAATAGCCCAACGAAAGAGCTCACCTCTTCCAGTCAGCAGTTCATTTTAGAGATCTAAGTGATGGATTTTAAGATGGGACCAATTACTGTGCAGGTGCTTCTATCCAGGATGAATAGTTTGTACTTACCTTGTCTCCTCCTCCTCAAGTAGTGACCTGCACATGGCAATTTCAACATCCAGGGCCAATTTCACATTCAGGAGCTCCTGGTAGTCATGAAGAAGGCGAGCTAGCTCATCTTTGGCCTGCTGCAAGGCATGCTCCAAGTCCTGAAGCTTTTCCTGGCCATCTTTGATGGCAGAATTCCCACGCTGGTCAGCATCCTTAATTGCTTCTTGGAGGCTGGTATTCTGCATGGGGCACAAATAGAACATGTTCTTATCTCTTCAACAGGACTGGGATTTTCAAACCTTCCTGTGAGTCTTTGGAAACTAAAAGACTTGTCTCAATGATAGCTCTCAAAAGATATAGCATTAGCTCTGGGTAAATTAGCCCAAATTAAATCCCAGCATAGATATCCAAAATCAAAACTTGTTTCACTTCAAAGCAGAATAAAATCTAGAGATGATGTCTTCAAAGGGCAGGCTACATTATTCTGCACTGACTCTCCAGGTAAACATCCTTGGAATGCATGACAAGAATAATTTAGTCCTGTTAGGAAAGCCTCAGCTTTACCTTTTTCCTTACAATTTCAATTTCTGGCCGTAGTCTTTGGATGTGCCTGGTCAGTTCCTGGATTTCCTGATAAGTGTTTCTCAGCTGCTCACGGTGATTTACCCACATGTTCTGAAGGTCCTGGTACTGGTGTACAGAGAGAAGAGAATAGGCACCTTGGTTTCTTGTCCACTGAGCCCCAATCCAAACAGACTTTCCTCCCTCTCTTGTTGCTGTCTACTGACCCTGCCCTGATACATGGCATCCACTTCAGCTTTGCTCCTCCGAGCAATTCCGTCATACTCCCGTCTGATTTCTTCAATGATGCCATCCATGTTCAGTTCTCTGTGGTTGTCCGTGGACAGAATGACATCAATGTTGCCAACTACTGTTTGCAGCTGAGACAACTCCTGCAAGGAAAACAAGATTCTTGATATTAATAGTCCAGGTGAACAGTTCCTGTCCTGTTATGAGGAATGAAATGGGACCCTCTGTCCAGCCAGCCACTGGAACTTCCCTACCTGCATCACCCAGAGCCTAGCATCCTCCAAGTCCTACAGGTCAACCACCAGTTTTAATTTTGGAGCGTCTCTTCCAACCTCCAGGCCACATGAGCCTCCTTTTTTTCACTCACAGATACAAAAAAGCACTTCACTAGTTCAAAGGCCAAGGAAGATCTACTCTACATGTTAAGTCCTGTTCCAGGGGAATTTTCTAGGAACTTCAAAAAGGTACGTGTCCTGTATGACCTGAGGGAAAGTTTTAAATCTGAGAAGCATACTCACTGCCTCATGTAAGCATCTGAGAAACTCAAGCTCCTGCTTCAGTATTTCCACCCGCACATCAAACTCTGTTTTTCCCATGTAGGTACTGTCCAGTTCCTGTGAAAAGAACCACAGGCATATTTATATTTCTTTAGTGGCAAGCTCTCCACTGAAGTGCAATTCTACTAAATTTGGTACATTTCTTTAAGGCCTTCATTCCTGGAGTCAAATAATGCCCCACAAATCTCAATTTTAATTTTAAAAGCAGCAAGAGTAGAAGGGAAGTTTTTAACTTCTGGAACTGAAAAGAATGATTTGGAAATAAAGCAAAATAGTTGTGGCAACAGATGTGTTCCCGGAGAAAACACAAAATGTACAAACATGGATTTCTGATATTACTTTTTTTCTGATAAAAAGTTACCTGAATTTTCTATTTTCCTACCTAAATCATCTCTAAAGGCCTATAAATGTTATCCTGTTTATACACAAATATATGTGTATGTACACACACACACAAATACATATAGCTGCATATTAGTCCCCTAATATGGATTTCTCACTCAAATGGCACTCGAGTGAATGGAGAAAGACTAGCACCTCCTAGATATTCATCTTACAAGGGACCAAGTCAGTCTCTAGAGGAAATGGTTTCTCTCCGTTCTTGCAGTAAAAAGACTTAGGTTTTAGATGACTTCCGTTAGAGGAGATGAAGTTAAGCAAAGATGCTGCTTTTGAAAACCTCAGCCACAATCCAATTATTGTTTTATCTCTGGGGTTTTGATTTAGCTCAGTGCCTTGGATTACTTCACCTTTTTGAGCTCCACAAACTCCTCCTCTTTACACATGTGCTTGTTGATTTCATCCTCGAATCTGTTGCAACAGAGAAAAGAAATGGGTAACTCACTGCCTATCATAATTTTTCAGTCAAGTGGATCAGAAACCAAAGAGAACGAACCAAACACTGACTGCACCAAGTTTTCATTTAAATGCAATTTCTGCCAGCTGCAAAAGCAGCTGCAAAACCTCTGGAAAAACATATACCAAATTAGCAGACAAAACCTGGTAGATCTAGATGAGGTCTAAAGTTCTCATAATCTGAACTAAACTTCTCGCGTTCCAGGGCTGTAGACGTATCACATCTTTTGGGGGGCAGTTAAGCTAGAACAAGAAGTGACTCTTCTCAGCTTGACCCCATTGCTCAGGTTTGTCCCTCCTCTCCTCCACTGCACAGGTTTACCACAATTCCTATTTGTCAGTGAAGCAGCAGTAAGGAATTCTGGGTCATTCACTGGCAGGGGGAAGAAGGGCACGAGGAAGGGCAAGAGGCAAAAAGAGTCAAATAGATCTACAGGGTTTTTCATTTTCCTCTCACTGTGCAGGGTTCTACCCTCATCAAAACTCCTGCTTTAGTCTTCCAGATTCCAAGTAAAGGCCCATAATGAATCTACTACAGGACTGCACTAAGATGGCTACAAAACTCTTGAAGGTAAGAAGATAAGCTATGGCACCTCAGAGCATGATTAAGACAAGACTTCCAGACTTAATAAACAGATTAATAATAATGATAAAAATAATAGCATTAACAGCAACATTAATGTTTTCATACCACCAGTCTAGACTGGTGAGGCCAAAGGAGTCAAGGCCTTGTTTGTTACCACCAAGGCAACACATTCTTTTAGGAATGTGGAAGCATTAGGCACATGCAGTCATGAAGCTCTCTGATGGGAGAGACTCCCCGTCCTGCCCTTCTACCACGTGACTGTCACCAATTACTTCTACTACTATGGTTGAATTGTTCAAAGGAACATGAAGGACTGAGGCACCTAGCTCCATGTCACTTCCAATGGGATTTGGATACCAAATATACTTCATTGCATTGGAAAATTCCAGCTCTACAATTTGCCTTTTTCCAGACTTGTGATTATTCACCTCTTCTTATAATCTTCAACAAGCCGAAGCATATTGTATGCTTCTGGATCCAGCTGCTCCTTTTGGTTCTGGAGAGTTTCTAACTGCCTCTGCAGGTTGCTGATGTAAGACCGGAATAAAGAGGCGATACTTCTGCTTTCCTCTGGCTGGGTACATTGTTGCTGCAGAAGTTCCCATTTGGTCATTAGAGCCTGGTTCTGTCGCTCAAGGCACTGAACCTGCAAGCCAAAACAGAAGAGCATCTCTACCACCATAAAGCACTGGGGGAGGCACTGACAGCAGCATTAGTCCTTATTAAAAATAGCAAAACCAACACTAATTAATATTTCCACTACAGTAACATGTAGAAGTTTAGTAAAGCTGGCACCGACTGTAAAAACTGTGATACCAACACATGAGATAGCTTAGGTAAATAGGGGGAATGTCAAATCTGTTGCCTAAGGGTGTGATTTACCGCTGCTTCTCAAAGTCCATCTTCACTCAAATCTTTGCTGGCTTTTGATCTCTTAAACACATAATATTTTGGGAGGATGCTTAGGGTAGGGGGAAATTTCAGCTGTTTCTGCAGTTCTTTACACATCAAAACACATGAGAAGAGCTAGCCTCTTAGGAGAACACACAGGATCACTCTTCTTCTAGATATATCTTGTCTTAGAGAAGAAGGTTAGAAAGGCCTGCAACACTCAGAGTTGGCATTTTTGGAAAACCAGAAGGATAGCATCTCTTTAGAGGGGATGCTGAACAGGCTGTTAACCTGGCAGCTGACATTCAGAATGTTTCCAAAAAAAAAAAAAAAAGTCAAACACACTCATATTTTTCAGGATTAAGTATGCTTAAGCCTTCTGGGTGTAACCAACATCTTTCCTATAAGGTAATACAAGCAGCCCTTAAGTCTCCATTCATAACAAATAATCCAGCTTCCACCCTGTGCGGAGATGCACATCACCACCCAAAGGCACATGCAAGGTCTGTGTGGGTGGAAGTGTTTTGATGGGTGTTTTGTTCCTATGTCTGTGAGTAGAAAGGACTGAGAAGATAACACTAGGCACAAAGATGAAAGAGTTTTAGTGTAAACCAAGGAAAGAGGTAAAGAAGAAAGATTTGGAGGCCATTGGCAGCAGGAGGAGGCTAGCAACTCCAAGCAAAGAAATGACTTGTCATTTTGTGGTTCAAAGAAAGGCAACAATTTGCTTTGCTTCAGAAAAAAGAAACAGGAACACATCAGTGGTGTCTGCTACCCATTTCTCCTCCTAGCACAAACAATTCTCAGGCCCTGGAATATTGCTAGCCATACAGATTTCCTCAAGAGGGAAGTAGATTAATACATCAGTGACACCCCAGTAGTTCATTATCGTCCTTCTACAAAAGGAGACTGAAAGATACTTATCTCAGGGCTAAACATAAGTGATTCATGCAGCAGAGTTTACAACAAGCTATTAAGAACTTTGTGTTGGCCTAACAGAATCCAGCCATCGCTGTGATTTTGGAGGAGAGGATGCAAAGGGATCAGATGTGTTAATGCCACATTTGTCCCCACACCTTTCCCAAGCAGAAGAGTACCCCTGCTAATTCCCCCTCCTGCATAAGAAGTAAAGAGAACAGGGACTCACCTTATCAATGAAGGATGCAAATTTGTTGTTGAGAGTCTTAATCTGCTCTTTCTCATCCGACCGTGCTCTCTGGAACTCAGGGTCAATTTGTACATGTACTGGCCTCAGCAGGCTGGTATTAACATGGACCTCCTCAGAGCCTTGACTAACACTAGCCTGCCCCAAACTCTGTCCAGCCCCTTGCTCACCAAAGGCGCTTCTATCAAGGCTGCCTCCAAGCGCCTCCCTGCCTAAACCTCCTCCATACATGCTATGAAGCCCTGCTTCGCCAGCTTGAAAAGCTCCCACAGGGCATCCTCTTCTGCCAAAACCCCCACCAAGATGTCTCCTGCTGCCAAATCCCAGGCACCTTTCATATCCTCCTCCTTCTCCTCTGTAGCTTCCACAGATTGGAATGCTCCTAAACCCACCAAGGTTATGCAGACTCCTGCTGCCATAACCATACCCATAACCACCGTATCTTTCTTCTCCTCTGTTGCCTTCACAATAGCTTATGGCAGATGACCTTCGCCCGCTACCCAGTGTGCCACAGCGAGCAGAAGAACCGAAATCCCCATCCCAAAATCTGAAGAACTGGTAGTTCATAGCTTCGCTTTCAGCGTTAGAGGAGGCAAGAGAGCAGATGGTAGAGGTTGTAAAACAGGAGGAGAAATGAGAGCGAAGGAACCTCGACTCCTCTGCTGGGGGAAGATGGAAGTTCTCCTTTATACCTCATGGAGGAGTTGGTCTCCATTCCATGGTAATCAACAGGTTTGTTAATTTTGTTATTGGGTTTGGTTCATCAGGCAGCAATTAATGGCTGTTTGAACAGACAACGGAGTAAACACCAATGGAGGAATTGTGAAATTCTCCAAATCCTGCTTGACTCACAAGCTTTGCTCAGATGAGATTTCCTTATCTAGTTAGCCTGCCCTCCATCATTAATTACAGTTTGCACAGTTATCAATGTACAATACCATGGTTTATTCTCTCTTGTTTTTCCTCACCTCTTTTGGCACTTCATTTTATGAGATGCAAGGCCTTGGTATAGCCCTCAGAGCATGAGGAGAGGGAAGAGGGCTCGACTTCCTTCACCACAGTACACACTATGCATCAAGTATATGATACTGTGTACTAAGTATAGAGTTGGTCTCCAAACTTTTCTACCAGATTCTTCCGCTGCACATCCGTCTGACCTATCCTTCCATCCCCTCCCCGTCTCTGTGCAGGACTCCACCTTTCTACTCTGAGCACACTTTGGTGTGGCAAACGGCCGTGAACATGCTAAAACACGTTTGGGAGAGAAGTTGTGCTACAGACAATGCCACTAGGAGACTTCAGCTTTGACCAATACCTCAAGACGACCGAGATGTGATACACTGTCACCAAAAGCACCACTGGAAACAATTTCCAAATGGCAAGCACTTCCCCTTTGTCTCTTACACAGCACGAGGATGAGCTGGGCTTCACCTGAAGGGGATGCACTTCCTTCCAAAGGCTCTGGATAAAGCCACATTGCAAACACTTCAGCTACATAGCAGTTGTGTGGTCAAGGCTTTGCTGGAAAGTGCTTTGTATATCCTGGAAATGAAAGATTTGTAGAGAGGTAACAGCTGTTCTTAGACCAGCTGATTTACCTAGAAGTGGATGCTCAGCAACCAGTTGAAGGGCACAGAAGTAGACAGTTTTTCCCCAGATAGGCAAATGAAAAATACTATTTCTCCCTACAAAACTTGATCACTTTTAGCCTTAGCCCAGGAGTGACCTACTGGTAGCCCAGACCTCCCATTTATGCTACTTTTTTGTAACTAAACTTTACTTGTTACATACATTTTACTGAGAATTTTAACCAAATGTCCTACTCGTTTTCCCCTCTTCCTCCAAATTGTTATGCAAAAAGCTGACTTGGAATGAGAATCACATGTCCTACTGGAAAGAAGGCTTGTGGTAAACAAAAGTTGTGTAATGATGATGATTTTAAAAGTGAATGGGGGAAAATCTGGAAACGGGACCATTTCAACCCATCTGGGAGAAGGTTTCTCAAAATATTAGGACTGTATACAAAAATCTTTCCTCTTCTGTTTCACTTTGGCTCAATAGTTTCTAGATGCTGGCCCATCCCAAGATAAACCAATGTAAGTGGTTCTCCTTCAGTCCCATATTTCCCAAGTATTTGAGACGCTCTTGTGATAAAGTTGTTGGTGAGATTCAAGCAGCCGTCAAGAAAGGATCAGCACAGTATCCATCATGCAGAATTCCACTGAGAATTCCATCACAAGGATGAAACATCTCATCAGTCCCATATTTTTACTTTTATCTAAATAAGTAATTTTCTGTCAAGCTGAAAGATGCCCTTAGAATGTATGTGCTCCATGCAAAATTCTGCATGGGACAAATTCTGTCTGAAAACTGCAGAGACTAAAACTTCTGTGTGACCTAGGAGCAATTATAAAGATCAAGTAAAGGTCAGGAGGACAATATATGCTTTCCTGTCAGGAGGAGCTGAGACCCAACGGACATGACCCATGATTTTCCTTGAGAGATTAAAAAGTCCCCTTTGCCTGAAATAATGATTCTTCAGCAAAAGCACAACGGTTTCTTAAAACTCAGTTCTTTTCACCTGCTTGTTGAGTTTGTGACTGACTGCTTTGGATGTAGCTCACCTTTGTCCCTGCTCGTTTCATTTTGAGAGTAGTTTGTTCCAATGTACTCTGCATCAGGCAATAGTTTAAATCATCCTCATGGATCTAGCAAGGAAGTGTTATAACCTAGGGGAGGGAACACCCACAGACCAAACAGGCCAGCTCAGTTTGGAACGATGGTTAGGTAGATGTCTGTAGAAAACCACTGCCCAAAAAGCATACATAAACCAGCTGCCTGAAGCAAACCAGCCAGTATTCAGACATCTAGAACCACTGCCTCAACCTCTGCAGGTTGCAGAGTCCCTGTTGAGAAGGCCTGCTCACAAACCCTGTGCAAAAAGAGCAGCCATCCCACGTGCCATATAATCCAGAGCATGGCATGTAGGCTGCTGTTGTTGCAACTGTCACTGGCACAATGCAGCCTTGGCACAACAGACCAAGCTACACCTGAACCTGTTGAGCTGGCTCCTGAAACAGTAATGTATGCAGGTTCAAAGAGTTGTTCACGCATCCTGCAGATGAAGGGGAGCATCCAGCAATACCTTCCTCTTTCCTGCAGAGAGTTGGTACTTTTCTCAGATGTGTCCAGATAGCTTCTTTTCTGATCCCTGCAAAGAACTAGCATAACAGTTTCCAACATACATGGACAAAAAGGACCACAGGTTCAACACGCTTCATTACCACAGAGAGAAAAATCACAGAATCTACTAGGGAGTGTAATTCTTTAGGGGCTATTCAAATAGCCATGTGAGTTGGCCTGGCTTTTTGTGATATTTTGTCCAGAAGTTATTCATTTACAATAGATTGTCTGGGCTTCTACAATGGATGGAGAGAGCATAGAATCTCCATGGGCTATTTATTCCTCCCCTGCAGAGAGGTCTCAAACAGGTGACATGAGTGTTCCTTTCTCAATGTTCTCATTTCCCTCCATGGACCAAAGGGGAACCAGGAGAACTCATTTAACTTCTAATTTTTGGATAGTGAGAGTGATGTGACTTGAGCCCTCCTCCAGGAGATCCAAGCTATTGAGAGACTGCCCCAAAGATTAACATTTTCAAATCATAAAGTCTATTCTTGAGTACCACTGACCCAGGAACTGCCAGCTTCCCCAGCCAACATCTGTCTCATTACAACTCAAGTCAACCTAAAACTGATCCACTGAATCTAAGTCACAGGGCCACCCCAAAACTGCCCTGGGAGTAATAAGTGAAGGTACTGAGGCTAACGCTCAGAAAATGCCTCTAAATTTTTGCAGGACCATTTAAATTTGCTTAAAATAGCAAGTGTAAGTGACTAAAATCCTGCAGATGTCTGAGAAGAAAGATCTAGTTACTTCCTGCAGCCACAGGATGTAAATCTCTGATCTTCTCAAGCCGCATTGGCTGAGCTGAGGGTTGATAAATAAGTACCAGAAGGAAATTGGCAGCTACTGCACAACAGCACAGTGGAGACAAATACAGTAGTAGATTAATAAATACAGTACTTAGATTTAATAGCCGCCCAGGTAAATGATACAGATACATATATGTAGGATTGGAATGGTAGTTCTTAATGGCTGGTTGCCTACATACCTGTGTATGTAGGGTCATAAGTCACTTAGAAAATGGGACTGTGATCACATAAGCCTAGTTAGAAAAATGATTCTCATCCCACAGACTTTCATTTTCTCCTACATTCCATTTCAGAAACTAACGATAACCTTTTTCTGTGGATGTGAAGGCAGCGGGGAAAAAAAAGGAAGAAAAGTGTCAAAAATCTTTTCGTGAAAGGGAAAAGTGAAATGCTGAGATTCTGCCAAAGCATTATACTACTTTAATTCTAAGGTTCCCCTGTTTGAATAGCATCTTACCTGCAACGATCTCTAGTACCAGTTACGCAGACACTTCAACGAGAGAGCATGAATGTTATCTCACACATGTGATAAACAATATATAAATCAGATGGAGTTTCCCTCACCCAGATCTAGATCTGAGTGAGGCTGGAAGTTGCTGTTAGACCACAGTTGCTCAAGAAAAAGAGAAACTGAACCCCAGACCAGGGCATGTTCAGAATTGCTGTGAAGGGTCAATAGTTCATGTAAAACCCTGAAGCTTCCTGAAGAGAGAAGTGTAATTAGAGGATGTCTGAGAACCCTCTGAGATGGAAGGGCTCTGTCCTGAAGAGACGGATACAAATGGGAACTGAGTTCAGCTGATTTGGGAATGCTTGGGAGGAAAAAAAATGTTCTTTTCTCTTTGCGAAACAGAAGCATTTTGTGGAAATGCATTGGTTGAATTGCATAGAACCAGGATGGAGGTTAGGATTGGGGTGGGGCAGAGACTGCCAGGCCAAAGAGCTCAGCAGAGAGATGAGGAGCTTAGCATAGTACTTGTAACTGGGCCCTCCATCAGGAGCTGCTCCATGATATGGATGTACAGAAGTGACCTGTGAACCATAGCATTTCAGATGGTAAGAAACAGCATTGCACCGCTGCTTGCATGTTTCTTTTTGGAAGGAAGCAGGACAGCAAGTAGAATAAGGTAGAGACCAAGGTATCAAGGATATCACCAATCAACTTATAACCACCAGGAGAAAAGCGGATGGAACCAATTGCTCAGTTCATAACTAGAATGACAGCAAGCTAAGGCAATAGTGAGGGAAAGAGGTAGAGGGGCCTACAAGAAAGGAGAGCTGCTGCAGGAAGCCTACACGATGGCTTTAGGTTAGACATTTGACTTTCAGAAAGCCAAGTTGGGCAGGATGAATTTCATCTAGTGAGGCTATGGGTGAGTCACTGCCTGCCTTTGTTTCGCCTTTGAGAAACTTGTCTTTGAACAGAGGGGCCTCTATTAAGGCTGGATTTTAGTCTCAGGTCTTGACCAGCAGGTATTCCTATAATACAAAATAAAGTACTGTTTCACCTTGCAGTCCCGTTAACAGATGATTAATGGCTATTTTAATAAATGGCTAATTATTTTAGGTTAACAGAGAGGTAAACAATATTAAGTCAACTTATTTGTAACTGCCCATAAGTGATCTCTATTCAGAAAATACTAATCATGTTTATAATATCTGTTAATCTCTTACTTCCTCTATAAGAACATGAAAGTATCAATTTAATATAATGTGTGAAAATAATGAAGTAATTTTCCTGTTGCTGTTATCATCAATAATTACAGCGAGTGGAAAAAGTAGAAGCTTGTTACCTTTTTACTTTATTGGCTAACTTAATGCAAAACACTGTTCTCTTATCCCCTGAGATCTCTTGAAGACTGAGCTAGTCTTGATTCTGCCACACATAGCAAGCAAACCTCAGCCAAAATAAAAATTTTTGCTATATTGAGTAACAGGAGGAGGTATGAAAGCTACAACCTAATTGTTGTAGTAGGACCATGGACTGAGAAGGCAGAGTTAGGCAGCAGCAGAACACAAGTGTCAACACAGCACACACAAGTTTGGTTTCTTGCCACAGGAGAACTCTAGCAGCTGCACAGGCTGCTGTCACGAAGAGGTACCGTAGAGTCATTCTGCGGCTGATGCCCTCAAGCTGGGGCGTGCAGTGTTGGAGCAAAGCAGAGATGAAATCTCCAAAGAGTTTCAGGAGAAGCAGTGATATGGGCAGGAGAAAAAAGAAAAATGAGGGTGACAAGGAAACTGGGTTGAACTGTAGGTTAAGATCACTGGGTATGATGAGAAAACACTACTGTCTTCTACATGCAGGTGCTTCCCAGCAGAAAAAAAGGCAATGCATACACCATCCATAATGTAAGTAGAGGAAAAAGATTAGGACAGCTTCACCATCAAGCTCTTCAGTGGGATTAAGCCAGGGAAGTCACTGTAACTTCAGCAGTTAATGCTAGCAGTCAGTGCTCACAAAGTGGCGCCTCTCAAGAGTTTGAGTCCCCAGGCACGACTTCTAGCAGCACCTCAGATCAAATAGCTTAACCAAATCCAATCCAAACCAAGGATCCAAAGGGACTAGACATTCATGGTGGGATTCATTTCACACCACCTGAGCCATTGAAGCTTATTATTTAGCCATGAGAAAGAGGATGGCCTCTCTTGAGGGAGACTTATCCTATTGATCTGAGCCACAGCCCCCTGTCTGCAAGGATTCCTTTAGCAACCAAAGGCATTAAACACCCAAGTAATATTTTCCACTTCTACAAAATTTAAGGAAATCCAAGAAATACCTTTCACAGGAAAGTTTACTCAGTGAATCTGTCTTTCTTAGCTAGACAGGAATCATAACACACTTGGTCAGAGAGTTTTGTGTCTTTTTCATCTTTTTCCAGGTGGAAAGCATGCTAAGAAGGCTAAGGTAGGCATCAAAAGACACTGATTGAGAACAGTTTTAATAACATCCCTCTCACCCCAATAGGAAATTCAAATAACATTTGTGAATAATTCTGGCAGATGTTCAGAATCCAGTAAACAACATTATCACCCTACAAAAGAAGTGGGTCCCAGTGCTGCCTTCTCTGAGCAGTGTCATTAGTTCTGGGATGTTCACCACACCCATACAATCATGCCTACATATCACCTGGGCTGATCTCCCAGTTGGATTAGAGTTGATAATTAATCCAGTCAAGGTCAGATTGATCAATTGAATAAACCACTCATTGGAATTACTGGCACCTCAATTGCTATTATTACCTCTGCAGCTGCAATAATTTTATCTGAAGGACAGCCAAACAGATTGAGAACAGGTAAAGCAACACAAAAAAACAGAGCTTTGGTTATTCTCATAGTAGACCTCCTGCCCAGCAAGAGAAGGGTCTATAGAAAAGTCACCTAGTGTAGGCCTCATCTTGTGTGATGTCCACTTCTAAATGGAAGCATTTGGCTAATGTAGTCATTTAAGCTCTCTGCAAAACTGGTGAAAAGAGACCACCACCTCCAGAAATTGATTCCCTCTATCCAGAGAATCCCTCCTTGAACGTTATCTCTTTCTCCACGGAGAAAGAGCCAAAGTTTCATCAGAGCAATACTTCTTTAACCCACCTTAGGGATAATGCTAACACTGCTTTAAAAAATAGCATTTCCTAGCCAAGAGGACTCTTCCATTAGAGAGGCTCTGCCAAGTATGTTGTGCCAATGTACAAGCTGCCATCACAAAGCACGCATCCCCACAGAATCTGGTTCCAATGGAAAGTCTGCAGCAGGTCCCCAGCCCCCTTCCCACCTCTGGGGCAGTCTCTAATATAGAGATGTTCTGCAGTTCCAGGCATGCCAAACTCCACATTCCCAGTCTCTCCTGAGGTTACAGTTGTCCCATTTGTCACAGATGGGATGAGGACCAGTCATTGGTAACCCAGAATTTGCCACATAAAGGTCCAAGAGTTTTCTGCATTCATCATTTCAACAGACCTGTGGTATCATGAGACAGATATTTCATGAGCACTTTAAACCAACATAAACTGGTACTGCCACTGAAAGATCCAACCCACCTCGTTGCTTCGTCTCACTCCCACACCTTTCCCTTCCTTGACCGGACACTAAGGCCACATGGTGTGCTAAACTGAGCATCTGACACTCTCCCAGCAAATAAGTGGATTCCTCTCTGTCATTTCACAACATTTCCCAGTTAAAAGCTCTGGCTTAGAGCAGCAATTGCACTATGTCATTTGCAGGCCAAGCTCTAAATCCAGCTTTTTCCAAAGGATTTGAACCTGGCATCAACTTTGCTCTCATTGCATGCCAGAATAGTGTCCAATCATTACTGGAGCATAGGCATTGCCAGGGAGGCCACTACCTGGGTCTGGGTCAGGAGGTTTTGCATAGCTGGCTGAGCATGGCTTGCTGAGCAACGCATCTTCCAACTCATGGTTCAATGGACCCAGGGAGGACAGCGTGCCATTACCCTCACACCAGCACTTCTTAGGGACCTGCATGTCTTGTGCTTGCTTGTTGGTGTGCACAACACTAGCGATAGGTTCATAGTTTAGGCTACCACATCCGAGTTCTTGCTCTGATCTGGAAAAGCTGTCTGGGTAAAATTTAGTATTTGGCTGCCTGTCTGGTGGCAGAAATCATCTGTGCAAGGTGTTGTACAAACAGAACCAAGTGGAACCGTGAACCCAAACAGCAGCAAGCTCCACGTGATACAAGAGACAACGATCGGGTGCAGAAATAGGAGCACATGAAAGGACTGAGGCAGTGCTTGCCACTGCCTTGGCAGCCCTCTCAGCGCACCAGCAGCCCTCTGCATTACAGAAAAGCAAGGCTGGCAGGATGCAATTCCACCTAAGCCATCTCAACAGGTTTTTCTCTCACCTGAGAAGGGATCCAAGGAAGAATATCCTTCAGCACCACAGACCCATCCTCTGCAGCCAGACATGAGCTGATTTCCTCCTCATATCTGCTAGGAGAGAGGGAAGGGATGTGAGCTGGTGGTGGGGCAGAAATGAAACTTCAGGGATCTAGGACTGTAGTATAGAAAGTGCAAAATAGATATTTCAGAGGAAAAGCCCCTCTCTCTTTTCTTCTCCATTCACATATTGTTACCAAGAAGCCATCTGAGCCACAGGTGTTCTGGCTCTCTCCTGCTGCACCTTACAGGGAGACAGATTGCTAACATTGTGCAGTAAAGAATAATTGAGTAATATTTTTTACACACTTCAAACCTTTGCTGAGCCCTCTAGTGGTGCTCACCACATTCTGTGCTTTAAAAACCACCTAGAACAGCAGCGAGCTGCTCAGCTCACTGTAAAAATAACCACCGAGCCTTCAGCATGGCCAAAGGATACTTAGAGCCTGACATACCCCATTAGCATTCTTGCGCAGAGTTCCCTGCATGGACAAGCGACCCAGGGCTTTCCTCATATACCTCATGATCTTCTCCACGAGGTCCTGCACGTTCTTAGCTCTGAACCTAGCCTTCCTTTCTCACCCAAGATACTAGCAAGAAATTATCTGTGGAAGTCGATAGGTCTCCAGTTAAGGCTTAAAGTTTCTCTTCCTCTGTGAGGAAAGCTGCCATTAAAGCAGGCTAGGTTTGGTCACCAGAACTTTTTTTTTTTTTGCACCAAAAATCAGACCCGACACCCAGAAGAGATGTTTCAGCAGTTGGAGGGCATGTACTAATGCTTTGATAGCCTGGTGTCAGTAACCTCAGCCATCACAAGCTGTCAGATCCAAGCGCTAACTCCCTTGTCCAAAGCCCCATTTGCATATCTATTATTGCGGTAAGGAAAAAAGACCTATCCATCTACCCCAGAATGTTGTATCCCACCAGGAGTCCTTTTCTGTAACAGTGAACAAATTACAAGTCCTAACCTGTCAACAAAGGAGGTACATTTGTTGTTGAGGGTCTTGATCTGCTCCTTCTTCAGTTTTTGCACCTTCCAGATCTCAGGCTTGATATCTAGACTGAGGGGTGCCAGGAAGTTTTGGTTGGTGGTGACTTCTTGCATGCCAGCAGCTCAGATGGAGGGGAATTATCATATCTTTGTCCAACAACCAACCTGTTGTCACCAACAAGATTAGCCACACCATCTTATAAACACTCAGCACCAAAGCCCCCTCTTTGCTGAGGGCTTCCAACAGCTACACTTTGGAAGCACTTCTGTTCCCACCATGGAAACTTCTCCTGCAAATCCACAGTAGCCATTTCTTTCTCAGCTCAAAGCCTCAAGCTGATTCAAAAGACTCAATATCAGAGCCACTGCTGAAACTCCTTGCTCTAATGTTCTGCTGCTGACTCATACTGGTTTACTGCAAATGGATAAGGCTGCAGTACAGAAGGGGGAAGGAGAGAAAGAACAAAAGAACAAAAAAGAGTTAAGAGACATGCAGTATGCAGCCTCTTAAGGGAGGATCAGCTTGTTGCTTTCCTATATATCTGCAGGGAATGGGGCTCAGCTGAAGTGAAAAGAAAGTAATCCAAACCAGCTGAGGGGCTTGGTTCATTGGCTGCCAGCCCAGCCTTTACTCCAGCAGGTTTCAAACACCTGTGGGACACAGAAATTTTAGAAAATTTATTCTAGGGACTTCAGAGAGTGGTTTTGTGGGAGAGGAGAAAGGGAGGCTGATCTGAAGACTTCCAGGACCAGAATGAAGCAGCTGTCTGAGTCTGAGACAGGGACCAATTTCTATTTCAGTTGACTGCAGCTTTTCTACCAAACCTTCTGCAGGTCAGGCAAGGCTGCAGCACAGACAGATCTGTTGTAAACCTTGTTATTTGCAAATGCAACACATCCCTTGTCCTTTCATCTGTCTTTATTTTTCAGTTGTGGGCAATGGCTACATTGAGAATAAAACCCCTTCCTTTAGGTAGTATTTTTCGAGACAACCTGAAACTTGCATCTTAACCCGGCCCATAATTTATGGGACAGTCAATTTGTCATCGACCTGGAGAACAAGAGCAAGTTCAGGTGTATATGAGAACAGAGCAGTGTCCCTTGCAGTTTGCAAGCCCTCTAGTGGCATTTTGTGGCCATGTCTACACTGTCTTCACCATGTGCACCAAGAAGTGAGCCCTGGTCCCCAGGCTACGGGAGGTGCAGACTTGCTTCCATCCATACTTTTAGCTAATAGTGGATGCTGTCATGTCATGCCAGGATTTTCAACAGGGCTTGCTTGCCACCAGCAATAGAACTAGTCAGAAAACGTGGAGTGTGGGGTCATGAGTATAAAGCCAGTTCTTGGGGCAGAGCTTGTAAGCGTGGGAGTGACACAAAGGGCAGAGGATCACCTGAATCCAAGCCAGAATGGATGTGAGGATGAAGAGGAGGGAGCATTGCTGTCAGCACCAGACACCAGTGATGTGGTTTCCAGAAGCTGAATTTCTGCAAATCCTGCTCTACCCATCCCAATTTTAGCTGAGAGAGCAGTGGATAAAATGGGGACGGGAAGCAACTGAAAGCACACCACGCTCCCAGATGGCACTCAACCAGGCCACCTGGCTATGTGGGAGCAGACACTTTTTTCAGAGGCACACAATGAAGGAACAGTATGTGATCTGCTTGCAGTTCATTGAGCATTGTCACAGACCGATAGGGCTGGGATGAAAGGGCACTTAACAGTTGGCAGTCTTTACAATCAAAGTTGAAATGAATACAAGGTTAGATGAAGAGCACAGATTCTCCTGCAAACCTCTACCTAATGCTCCAGAAAATGGACTTTGTTGGCTCCCGATAGAGCAGTCAGCAAGATTCATCCTGCTGGCACAAAACACCTCTGGAGACTGACAACAGAAACGAGTTTCACTTGTGATGAATTCAAGACAAGAACAGCTAGGATCAAAAGAGGGAAGAAAGGAGATGCTTTAGCAACCAAAAGGAAAGCAGAGGAGTATAACTTGCAAAAACAAACAGAATAACTCCTCTTTGCTCCTTAACTAAATTTCTCTGGCAGTTATAAAGCTTTCCATATGGTGTTTTCCACACACAGCCTAATGCAGAAAGAAAGAGTGCAATGATTTGTGAAAGGTGAATTATGGAAGAAGAGCTAGTTGAGATGATGTTAAGTGAGTCCTGTAACCTCTCTGCGGCTCAGATCCATTGCCCTAAACATCTCATCCTTCAAGACTGCTCTGGACGTATGTGCCATGTAAATACAGTAGCAAGGAGGCAGAAGTAAATTGACTCTCAAGTGATAACAAAGCAATGCTACTCATAAAGGCAAATGTTTTCTGCCTACCAGCTGTTCATTATCCTGCCCAATAAGACTATAGAATGGGTGAGTCTTCTCTGTATTTGTACGGTACCCAACCCAAGGTAAGCAATCTTGTTTGCTCCTGAGGCCCTCCCATAATAAACATGATTAGTAACAATTAAAAATTCATTACAGCTCTAATTACAGCCAATATAATGTGGATTCATTCCCCAATAAGCTCATAAAATATTAAGCATATTATATGTCTTTCCATGCTCCAGTGTAAAGAACAGTTCACCTCCCACAAACAGGGTTATACAACAGACACCTACGTGGTTCTCCTTGCCTTCCAAAGCTTCCTGTACGTGGCAATCTCAGTGTCTAGGGCCTTCATGAGAGGTCCTAATATTCCTTCAGTGCATGGGCAAGCTCCTCTTTGTCTTCACTGAGGACTTTGCAGAGTTCATCCGATTTGCTTTTGGCACCCTTAAGGGCGGGATCTCCTTTCTGTTCCACCTCAGCAATGCTTAACTGGAGCTGAGCACACTGCTGTTTTCCCGTCCCCTCTGCCCCAAGGTGTCTAGCCACCACTGGTCTTGCGTGAAACCACTTGGTGGCTTAACCGGTCATCAATCCCATGTTGTATCTCACAACCCTGTGTTACTAGGACTGAATGATGGAGACCCAGTGGAAAACTCTACAAGTGAGACGTTTGCCATTTCACTTTGAACTCCAATCTTTGCAAGCCAAAAATGATCCGAAAATGCAGCCCAGTTCTCTTTAGCACCAACTTTGGGCTTTTCATTCCACAGGCTTCAGCTCCTATGACTTTTCTAGCGACTTAGTGGCTACTGTCTCCTTTTCTAAGCCTTAAAGCAGGCCTGCATAATGGACCCCAGCTCTCAGTCCATCTGCCTCCTTGCGTGCCTCTCTGTTTACCAGCCTTTTTACTACCAACTTTACCTCCTTTAATTTTTTAACTCATATGCACAGCTCCACTGAAATCCCTGGCACAGGATATTCCTATTCAACACTGGGGGATAGGTTTCATATTAGTACAAACAGCACATACCCCTCTCTGTAGAAAACCAGAACTTAGAAACAACCAACAAAATGTTCTGTATTTTTTCATCCTCTGTGTTCAAAAAATGACAACAGCTCTACCAAAAAAGTGTTGATAATTGAATGGGTGTCATTGCTTGATCACACTGAGGCTGTTTCACACTTGCTTTCAAACAAAACAGACTCCTTTGCTACAAATATGAATCTACTTTTTAACTAGAGCTAGCACCTATCAAAATGCTCCATGGGGCAAATGAAGGGAAGCCCAGTCATTGGACTGTTAAAATCTTTGATTCAAGCATGATGCACCTGAGCAATTAACATTATTCCATTTTTCATGAGCACAGCAGATGGGAAAGATAAACTCTAGCAACTCCATTTTACAGCCTGGCCCCTCTCCAGGAAAAACTTAGGGAACTTATAAAAGTGTGTGCCTTTTTGTGGGATAGAGCCCGCAGCTGGAGCAACAGTAAGCAATTCGTGGCATTTATTACTACATGGAGCTGGCAGGTCTGGGCTGAGCACTCAGTTGTGTCATTTAGCACCAGGAAAACATGCAGAAGGGATCTATCTGAGGCACAGTGGTATCTCTGGCTTCCTGGATTTACAAGGGGCTGCTTTCAAAACACCACAGATCTTCACTTTCTTTGACCTCCTCTTAAGGAAGCCCCCAGGAACACTCTAGGTCTTTGCACCATCTTGATCTGTAACTGGCCTTGGACTTTTCACTGAGATGAGGAACTAGGAGATGACTTTCTGATCTCTCCCATCCCAACCTACAAATTCATGCCTAAGCCAGGGAGCATTGGTCCTCGAATATGCTCTTCTTCTGTGTGGGACAAGAGGACAGAGAGAAGCATTTACTACGGCTGCAGAGAAAGCCACGTCATTAGGAAGACCCTAGGAATGAAATTCTGTCATGCTGCTGAGCCCTTACGCCCTGCAGAAAGAGGGAAGGGCTTCAAGCTGGCCTGCACAGATCAGGGAAGGTGATGGAGGCAGAAGGCAGGTGATATACTGGGGAAGAACTCAAACTTCCTGGCAAGCCAGTCCTGCCAGTGGAGCAGAGATTAGATAGCAACCAAATCCGGCCAGGCTAAAAGGAAAATTGGAGAAATTATTGGGTGACTGAGAGAAAAGGCTGTTACAGATGATTTTAAAAAGAGCAGAAAGAGGTACTTTAAGAGAGTCTAAAAACACAGTGATTTTTTTTCCAATTCTAAATAAATATATTTTTGCATTCTCCTGCATTGCTTTTTCCCTACGTTACTCCAAAATCCCAATGCTGTTGCTTTAGAAAAGCTTGATTAACTAAAAATTATCACCAAAAAATTACCACCAAAACCCAAATTCTTTGTAACAGACGGGGGAGCACTAATGCCCCAAGCAATGCAGGTTGTTATTGCAAATCAACTTATTATTCTTTCACCAAACAGAAAATTGTTGGGAGAAAGACTTGCTCAAAAGCTGCTTTGAATCAAAGAATATTTTAGAATCATGTCACTGATTATACAAACAAGAGAATAAGGCATACTATAGCATGGTAGAAACATCAGATTAAGAAGTCAGATGCATCAACTGAGAGAAATATTTGAAGGAAAAAAAAGGAAAACCAGCGTGAAAATAATACTAATGCAGATAAGAATTACTCTTTCTTCCTCCTTTGTTTTTCCGTTTAGATGGCAAGGACTCTGGAATTAGGATCTGCTCCATTTCCATACTTTTTCTCATAAACGCTGAGCTCACACCAGCGTATTACATGCACAATAGTACAGTCAGGGTTGATTCACCTCCTGGTCCAAATCTTGCTCCTCCCAACCCTTAAGAAGAATCCAGCCAAGCGTTAATCAAATTAATCTGCTTGCAATGGGATATCATTTATGGAGGGCTAATAACCAACCTGGCTAGGCAACCTGGAGTTGTAATGGTAGGTTTGAGGTTGTGTCTCATCCTTTCACGCTGCTTTCGTTATGAGTAATTCCTGTCCAGGCACCATCTTCAGGCCTTCCGGCTGCTCACGTCCATGTTGCCAGGGCCCATGTAAGAGCCCTGCTTGTCAGATAGAGGGTGCTATGCACCCTCGCGAAGCTGCCTTGATGGGGTTCGATTGGCCACTAAAATACAGGACAATACCCTTTATAAATGCATTAGCTGCCACACACACAGCAGACCTGCATGCTTGTGTCCCAGTCTCCTGGTTGAGGACTCCAGCACGCTGGGGTGGAGCTCGAGGCAGTGCAGGGGCCCATGTGCTGCTGCACGGCGCACCCGCAGTTGAGCCAGCTGGGAGCGGTGTGTCGGGAGTGGTGGGTAGCCCCCTTGCACCAACTGTCATGTTAACCTCTGGCGTGGGCTGCCCCATCCCACCTGCCACCACAGCC